CCCGGTGTTACAAAACACTGCGTCTCTCGTGCCGAAGCGGGGCCGAACTCTGGGCGGCGCCTCACCCGGTCTTCTCGTCGAACGCCGCCTGCAGATGCGCCAGCGACAGCCGGCCCAGGTCGGCCATGGTCTCGCAGCCCAGCTGCTCGGTCACGGCGTCTCCCAGCTTGCCGCCCAGCAGACGCACCTGCCGGACACGGCGCCGGTGACGCTGGGGCAGCCGGTGCGGCACACACGGCGATAGCACACAGAGCGCTGGGGGCCCGGGTTCGTCCGTCCACGCGTCTTCAATGCAGTCAGATGCACTGGTGAGCACTATCGTCAGGTAAACATAGTGGCATACAAATGCTGTTTTTATGTGCTGGATCCCTGGCCACCATTTCTGGGACTTATTATGTTTTTTACATCCTATTATATACGCTGCCACTTCCCTTCATTTTCTTTCTCCTGCTACACACAGTATGTTATGTATAGCAGAGGAAACGCAGCAAAGTTTACATTTCCGTACTTTCTTCCTTCGATCTTGTCACTTTTGCTAACCTTCTATGTAAACAAAGTCAACGATTACGCACTGAATCGATGAATCCAAGTTTCTGGGCTTGTCCTATATACTAACATATTGATGCGAAAATGCGACATTCCCACCTTTTTAACGGGTAGCTTCGAGTAGAGATGCGCAACGGAACCATGGGGTAGAATAGTCTGCCGGTTTGGCTTGTTCTTGCCGGCACACAGCTTCGCCAGAACCTGCCAACATGTGCTCGGGCTTTCATTGATCCTGTCAACCAAGTTCCCGCAAGGCATTTGTGTAATTAAATTTAATATAAAAATGCGTAAAAATGTGAGTTATGAAATAATGTCTGCATGATGTGTGAAATGTATGAAAAAATTTAAAAAATAATAAATTATGAAATAAGCCCTTTCCATCAGCACCCACTATTTCAGGGCTACGAAACTACGAAGTGGGCCACAAGTAGGTCAATGCTGTGGCTAGCCTGGGTTACATCCGACAGCGGGGCTTGCCTCACCACACAGACAGCCAGGCCAGGCCAGAGCGGGTGCATGGGCGAGCTCCCGATTAGGGTCGCGTTACTGCCGACACGTGGACGAGGGTCGCAGCACGACCCCGGGGAAGGGAGGTGTTGCGAGGGGACGAGACGACGTGGTGGCCGAGAACGGCGGCACATGGGACGGCGAAAGACGGCCGAAGCACCAAAGTTGTCTCGAAAACCACCAGTTCAGCACACACAAGTTGTTGACTGTCACGTTCTGCGACCAGCCAGTTGCTGCATTTTGGGGGGAGGGGTAAGAATGCTATTCAGTGCAAAGTTGATGTCATTGAACAGCTCACTGACATGATAAATCACATACGCTTCATCCAAATACACAGCAGACGCATTTTTCCACGATCTCGCAGTCGGCATAACTTACCTTATTGTGTGCGATGCCAGCCGAACATCGGTAGCCGGTCTGATCATGCACAGCTTTGCGCATTTGTTCACAGATGGCAGCACCCGCCGCCAGGAGCCGGTCACCTGGCGATGCGAACTCTGAGTTCACGGACTCTAAAAACGCCTCCACCTCTGCCTTACGGCACTCTGAAACAAAGGTCATGCCTCATGACCTCGCGTTAGGCGGTCATCAGGTCTCCAGTCACACAGACTAGCCCATGCATGTCTTATCATGAAGCACCCAGTACATGGTCTGAATCATGGTGGCACAGTGATGTCTCTGTTCTCTTCCATCAAGTTCATGGAAGTTTCATACACACATCAAGTTCATATTCAAGTTTACACATACATCACAGTGTCCTGTTCCCTTTCTAACAGCTTTCAATAATCCCATCTGTCAATCAATTATGCCAACTAACAGAAGATATGTATAATGGCATATTGTGTCCACCTTTACAGCAACATTGGATGTGTGAAATGATCCAAGATGCAAAAAATTTATGATATGATACAAAAAGATCCTTTCACTTGCTGGTGCCGAAGCCCAAGACGCCAAACCGCCCCAAACTGCCCTCCCGTCACGTACCCTCAGTCTTCTCGTCTCCGCCATAGCCGACCACGAACGTGTTGGCCAGGTGCTCGGGCGCGAGCGGGCCGCTGGCCAGCCGCGCCGCCGCCTCGGCCGTCAGCTCCACGTACGCCTCGTCCACGCTGGCCCGCTCCAGGCGCTCAGTAAAGGGTCGCAGGGCGTCGATCACGCGCCGGCCAGCCTCGCGGTATCGATTGATGTCGGCCTTGCCGCGCACCTCGGGCACGCGGAACACCACCAGCTCAGGGCAGAGGCGGCGCGCCTCGTCGCCACGCATGCCGCGAGTCACGCCGCACGCGCGCGCCTCGTAGTTGACGGCGATGATGCTGGAGGCAGAGCAGGCAGAGGTAATGGAGAGGTTGTGGAAAGTCTGAGATCATAGAAGAGGATGCCAAAATATTGAGGACTGTGGAGCAGTGGGTGTTGAGGCATGACTGTGGTACAGTGATTCATTTGGCAGTTTGTAACCTCCATGCCTATTTCTATGGCTCATGGCTGGGAATGTATGTGCATACAAACAACTGCAGCATGCTGGCAAGAACAAGAACAAGAACTACATAAACATAACACATGCACAAACATCACTGGACATAATTCAGGCAAAACAATGTAATTAGACAATAAAAATGAAAATCAAACTTAGCATTAACTAAAAACCTGATATCACTGCCCACCTTTCTGAAGTCCTGGTGAGCAAAAGATCTGATACAGTCAGGAAAATCTGCATTAATAGTCCCCTAAGAAAGTGGATCTGACATTCTGTAGGGCCAGCAAACAACGCAGGTGACCCATAGCCCCACAAAACACGAACAATATCATGAGCAATATCACAGCATTTTACAAGTCATGAGCTCAATTTAGTCATGGGTTAATGAGCTCATCACCTCAATAAAGCCATGAGTGACAAGCTCAGACAGAAAATCTGGTCATCTCACTCATGCTGCTTGAATCCAGGTAAAGTAGTGATAAATGACTTAAGAAGCAACCAAACTTGCACTAAGTCAAAGTGGAATCAATTCTACACATAAGTTATGTGTCAGGATTGAATTAAGGACTCTATTAAATTGGTTGGAGCAGCAATCAAGTTTGACATCTTTGAAATTACCTTTGGAATCTTTGATATCTTTAGCATTAATATCATCATCTAAAAAAACAACTAACAGCTGCATAACACTTTTCTTATTTTGGTAACTTCTGCCAGCACCAATCATAGCAGTAGTAATGATGCCCTATTATGAAAATAACACCCACATGTTCATACATATCAAAAACCATTTTACCATCAAACCCATACTCATCATGCTTGATCTTTCCAGGATCAAATCTTGCCCTAATGAATATGTGCCCCAGCCCAAACTGCACATCACTCAAACTTCATATGCTGCTCAGTCATCCAAAACTGACCATGACTGGTAACATACTCAGAACTGAGTAAAAAGTGGAGTCAAACAAGCATCTGTGCACTACCACCATTTGTTGTACATATGCACAACTTACCCCCCGCCTTTCCATGTGTTATATTGTGCAACTATAGCTGGCTTTCCCAATGTTTCTGGATGAAGCTGTTGTTCCACTTGCACGTAAAAGCAGTCCATATCAATGAGAAGAACAACCCGATTTGCCATTTCTGACACAGCCTGAAAATCAGAACATGTCATGTGACCCTATATCTGGTTTTTCTGACTGTTTTAAGAGAAAGACCATAAGTCGTGCGATTGTACGCAGCCTGCGCAGAACAGGGCAGCAAGAATGCTGGCGATGTCGAGAATCCTGGGACGGGCCCATCAACGATCTATGGTTCTCAAGTTTCAGTGCGTTATAATCAATCTTTTTACTCCCCACTTAAGGATTCACTTGAGAACTGGCTGAAATATGCTCACGCAATATACGTACAGATCATCCGCTGCCACCGCCACAACCTCACCTACCCCTCGCACCACCTCACCGCGCCACCCACGCAGCGCCAGTACGACTCAACAGTACCTGTACAAACTTGCGCGGCGCGAAGTCTGTCAACCTGCGTCATACTAGCAGCAGTATTACACCGCCTTGAGCAACAGACTGATATCCGACCGCCAGTATGTCGATGAAGTTGGTGATTACTCAGCGATGTATTCAAGAACGAGTTTCGATTTCACAAAACAAAGCCCCCTAATTCAATTAATGCATCAGAACATCGAAAATAACTTCATTTTGCAATATTATGTGAACCACAACGTCAAAAGCTGGGTTAAATGACAGGGAGCTCCTTATCACCAAAAGTTACCGTCCGATTTTTAGCCTGCAAACATGAAAGTATTCACAGGTGCAAGAAATAACGTCCATCTAAAAGTCCTGACCTCTCAAGGTCATTCTTTAAGGTCAAACGCGGGCTCATGACGGGGAACTCGGCGTCACCAGCAACTGACCGGCAGATCTTATACCTGCCAGCACCAGAATATTCATTGCAGAAAGAACAAACGCGCATTACATCTTTCCTCATGTTTCCAAGTCCTCACCTTTCAAGGTCATTGTTCAAAGTGGAAATCTGGCTCGTGCAATGAGAAACTTCAAACTAAAAAATTACCGGCCAATTTTAACCCTGTAAGCGTCAAAATATTTAAAAGCGCAAGAGCTGGCGTCCATAAAGAGTCCTGACATATCAATGTTGGCCTTCAAGATGAAACGAGGGCTCAAGGAACCCGGGACTCCATATCATCAAACAATTATCTGAAAATTACATTACTATCTCGGACATGCCCTGACTCAAACCATTCCACCACGGGTGGATAAATCAGAAGGCAGACGCTCTAACCAAATAAAGCATTGGGACGAAGGTAGTTATGTGTGCATTTCTAATTCATGGTACTTTTAGTAGAATGTGTGTGCATTAGCGCAGATATATCGCAGCACTCTGTATACAGTATTTTAGCAACGTTTAGCGTACAGGACCGCTATCAACTGGCACAAAACCGGCGCAAGCTACAGTTGCGTGTAGTCCGAGGCCTCTTGTGTAACTTGGTTTGGGTAAGGTTGATTGTGTGGTGCAATGCATAAGCTCAAAATGGATTATGTGATCCTTAGCATTTAAGATGCTTGTGAGCTGCTATCGATTACAAGAATACGCAGACTTATGCGTATTTTACACTCCGCCTTTAAGTCGTCCCACTAATTTCAGCACATAGTGGGCCAATGTATCAAGGACCTCTTGTGATGCAGAAGTCATCTCAGGCGAAGATATTTGGAATAAAATTTGATGTAAAATTAACTGTAAACTCAGCTCAGTTTGTCCTTGATATACTTCTGTGACATAAGCTTGAGATGCACCTTACCAATGTGTTGGGGGTTTTAGGGTGCATCAACCGCTGTAAGTCATGCAGCTCACCAATGTGTTATCATGTGGTGCATCATATGGATTGTTTGCAGACTGAGGCATTTGGAGGTATTTACAGTCTGAAGTAGATGGGTCATTAAGGGTTAAAGTAATTGTGCCATGTTCATAAGTGGTTAAGTGTGGTATTGCTCAGCACATACTCCCAGTTTTGGGGGGCTGTACACATTCCCCTTTATGGAGTACATAATGAGAATATAAAGGTACTGGTGAGCACTGCTGGTAAGCACACCTTGTTTTTGTTGTGTTCATCATCAAAATGAGAAACCCTTTTCCAGGATTTGAAAAGTTACTTCCACGGACAAAGAGATTAGTGGCAGAGAATACGTTCATTCTCCGCTACAATGGGAGTTCCAGCATTCTTCCGATGGTTATCTAAGAAGTATGCATCAGTCATTGTTGACTGTATTCAAGAGAAGGTGAGTATGAATACTCATTTTAATGGATGAGCATGGCCTTTCCATTGCATGGCAGGAACTTACATCAGGTAAGAATTGAGGAATTGAGGACAAATTCAGGATATGTCATGTAAAGGCACATGTGCAATGTGCCCACTTTATCTATAAAGCAGTTTCCAGGCTTATGGCACATATTTGGGCTTAGTTGTTCAAAGTGGGGCTTGAGTCAAGCCAGTTTTCAGCTTCTCAGTTGGGATAGTTTCCATCACTCACCAAACTCCTGAGTGACACAAAAGTCCAAATCTGAGGTAGGGTGGCCAATCTTTTCCCCTATATGTGTGTAATATATGGTTTAAAAGCATGCTGTTTTGGTTAGTTCAACCTGTAGCCTTACTTAGTGTGCTTAAATGATGCAAAGCCCTTATTCTGGATGTGTGGTGCTAGGTGTAGTTGTGAGGATGAGACCAATGCTTTCATAAATCACTTAAAGTTTTGTGAACCAGGTCAAAGGATGCTTGTGTTCAGGAGCTGATGTGACATATGATTTTGAGTTTGAGGGCTGCAGTTAACTGGCTCTATATTTGTTAGTGTGTATCATTGAAACATTAATATTTCAGTTGTCCATTTCACTTCTTAGTCAGTTCAACTTCACCTGGACTGCATTTAGGACTAATTTTTAGGTCCTGTGTGCCAGTCATCTCTTTGAATGGGGTGTGTGTTTGCTTTCAGCCTGGCGAAGTCAACGGGGTCAAGATCCCTGTTGACATCAGCAAAGAGAATCCTAATGGCATCGAGTTTGACAACCTGTACCTTGACATGAATGGCATCATCCATCCTTGCACTCATCCAGAGGACAAGTAAGTGAGCCTGGTGGCTTGCAAAGCATATCTTGACATGTTTTGGGGTATTGAAAGTAATTTTGTTGGCACTGATTTTCCGTCGATGTGAGAATGTTGTTTGACGTGTTGCATGGTGTGTGGGAAGTGAAAATGGTCTGCAGTGGTGGCAGAGGCATTATAATGAATGTGAAATTGTTTTGTCATTGTTATTGTTGGTTAGATTTTTTGACATGCTTGACCAAAACTGAAGTAATTGCGTGCACTGTGTGGCAAAGATGTGTTCATCCAAATGGCACATACCCCAAAACAACACATGTAAACTTCCCAAAACAGGGCTTAACCATGCTGAAGTTGCAGCTGCCAGATCAGACGAGGAACTGGGTAGACTGATAGAAAGACCGCGAGGTGTCATCATTATTGGGCATAGGAGTGGGTTGGACCACGCCACGATGTGCGCACACGCGCCGCGGAGAGTCTGCTCGCCGGTGGCGCCGCCTCTGAACCCCAACGCCCCCGCCCCGCAGGCCCGCGCCCAAGAACGAGGATGAGATGATGGTGGCCATCTTCGAGGCCATCGATAAGATGATGGCGATCGTGCGGCCCCGCAAGCTGCTCTACATGGCCATTGACGGGACGGTGCGTGTCTCCCTCCCCCGGCCGGGAACCCCTGTAGGGAGCATTGAACTCGACGTGTTCCGCACCAGCTCTCTGGCTGTTTCATGGGCGGGTGTGGAAGTCCGATAGCCGATGTGGGCCAGCCGCCTCCGGTCACCGTTGCGGTCCTGTGCTAGCTAATGCAGCTGTACATTGCACGTCCGCCCGTGGACGTACTCCTGTGTTGCATTGTGTTCTGGTTATGCTGACAGGCAGTCGAGATGCGATTCGGCCCTAGGGAAAACGGGTGTCTCGGTGTGCAATGGCACGGTCTTTGAGTTGGTGTCGTGTTTCATGTTTTTCCCTTTGCTGCATGCCACACGCAAGTCCTGTATTCCGTGTTTATATCATATGTGTTATTTTCCGTTCTGTTCTCCATGCCCTTTGCTATATGTCATGCTCCTGTTGTATGTCCCCATGCTGTTCTGCTGTGCCTGTGCAATGCTCCCTGCCCGACGGGTTCTGAACGCCATGGTCCCGTCCGGTTCTTCCACGCTGTTATGTGCTCCGCCGCCGGCTGCGCCGCGTTCCCGCCCTGTTTCCGCCACCCCGCCACAGTGCCCCACCGCGTGCCCCGGCCGCTACCCCAGGCGCCGCGCGCCAAGATGAACCAGCAGCGCTCGCGTCGCTTCCGCGCCAGCAAGGAGACCAGCGAGAAGTTGGAGGAGATGGCGCGCATCAAGGCCGAGCTACGCAGCAAGGGGGTCGAGGTGCCGCCCGACAAGCCCAAGGGCGAGCACTTCGACAGCAACTGCATCACGCCGGTGAGTGAGGGCGGAGCGGGGCGGAGGGTCGGTCGGCCAGCGGGGGACACGAACGGGCGTGACGGTAGCGCTGGTGTGCTGGTTCGGACGGGTGGTAGACGTGAATGGGTGCAATGGCCAGCCGTGAATGACAAGGATAGGTGCGATCTCGAAACCTCGTTTCGCGTGGATTTGAGTGATGATGCTGGTGTTGCCGGGGTCAGAAAACTTACGCGGTGTTTCGGAGCTCACACTCGGCATCCCTTCGCCTCTGCGCTCTGTTCGGTTCGTAATCTTCCGGCACTTTCAGCGAAGTTGACCCTAACTGTAGTCGAACATCGAGGATGTGATTCCGTTCCTCACACCATAGAAGCCACCGTTGTGTGAACCTCGTATGACGTGTGTACTTGATCGGCTCCTACCTTTGCCGTGACCGATGCCGACGGGCCCGCCGGGTGACCCGGCCTCACCTGACCTCGCCATGCGCCGCTGGGCAGGGCACGCCCTTCATGGACCGGCTGAGCAAGTGCCTGTGCTTTTACGTGCACGACCGGATGAACAACGACCCCGGCTGGCGCGACCTGAAGGTGATCCTGTCCGACGCCAACGTGCCCGGCGAGGGGGAGCACAAGATCATGGACTACATCCGCCGGCAGAGAGGTCCGTCGCTGGCCGCGCACCCTCCCTCCCCCGCCGAGTCCGGAGCCCGCCGCTGACCCGTGGGTTAGAGTGGGGGCAAGGGGTTGATCGTGGGGTGGAGTAATCAGCTATGCTCAGTAGTGGGTTTGGTGTGAGATAAGGTAAGGCTTTTGCTTAGAGGTAGGATTGGGTGCGGTTTAGAGGTGATGTTTTGCCACATATTGGTCTTGATGGATGCCTCCTCCTTTCTCCTGCCAAAGTTTGTGCTGCCCTCCCCCTCCCTACAGGCGAAGTTACTGTGTAACGACTCTACAAACAGCTGAAACCCTGTGTATTTCAGCTTTCAATGAAAAACGGTGTTTTTAGAGCCTACAGCTTACAGTTTATAGCTAGTTGGTTTTATTTCCTCAGTGCATTTTATATGATCCTGCACCGTGCACGGATAAATGTTGCACGCGTGTAGCGTGGCATGTATGCTGCGGAATATGTGGAAATGATGTGCCTGTGTTCAATTGGTCGACCAGTATCACAGAGTTTTGGACCAATGACAGGGACATCAAAGCTAGAACAACAAGATCAGGCTGAACTAATCTACAGTAGAAGATACCTCTGTGATGTTCTGGTTTAACTTTGTGTTGCGTCCGTCGGAGCAGTTAGCGTTGCGTCCGTCTTTCTAACGCAGGAATCAACCTTAGGAGTACAGCATTCGACGTCCAGTCTGTTTTCCGAGCGGGAAATCCGCCCCGATCCACGCCATTTCGCCAATGTGTGTGCACAGAATGCGCTGATCTCGAGCACGCATCACACGCTGAACAAAGTGGTGAGGATCCACGGCAAAATTATCGATAACTCAGCCGTGGGTCAACCGCACCAGTGCCGGCACACCGACCTGACCTCAGCACCTCCGCAGCGAGTCCGGCGCACGACCCGAACACCCAGCACGTGCTGTGCGGCGCCGACGCCGACCTCATCATGCTGGGCCTGGCCACGCACGAGCCGAACTTCACCATCATCCGCGAGGAGTTCAAGCCGAACCAGCCGCGGCCCTGCGAGATCTGTGGACAGATCGGTCAGTGGTCAGGGGCTTGGGGAGATCTGTGGACAGCAGTCCGGGGAGATCTGTGGACAGTGGTCTGGGGCGATTTGTGGATGGGGGTCTGGGGAGATCCGCGGATATATCAGTCGGTGGACAGTGGTCTGGGTAGATTCTTGGGCATATCAGTCAGTGAATAGGGTCTGGGGAGATCGTGGACAGGGGTCTGGGGAGATCTGTGGACATATCAGTCAGTGGACAGGGGTCTTGGGAGATCTGTGGATATATCAGTCGGTGGACAGGGGTCTGGAGAGATCTATGGACATACCAGTCTGTGAATAGGGTCTGGGTAGATCTGTGGATACAGGGTCTGGGAGATCTGTGAACAGGGGGGGGGGGGGGGGGAGGGGAGATCTGTGAACAGGGCTCTGGGGAGATCTGTGGACAAGGGTTTGAGGAGATATGCGGACAGATCGGTCAGTGGACAGGTTTCTGGGGACATCGGCTGAAATAGGGCGCCTACACCCTGTGTGACGCCTACGCCGCCGCCCGCGCCGACAGGCCACGAGATGAAGGAGTGCGTGGGCAACGTGCGCGAGAAGCAGGGCGAACACGACGAGATCGCCATGCCGGTGGTGGCCGAGACCCAGTACATCTTCGTGCGGCTGAACGTGCTGCGCGAGTACCTGGAGCGCGAGCTGGAGATGCCCAACCTTCCCTTTCAGGTCAGTACTTGGCCTTATAAGTCAAAGGCTGCCCTTCCAGGTCAGTCGCTGCTCTGCCAGGTCAGCCTTGTCCTTGCAGATCAGAACCTGACATTCCAGATCGGTACGTGCCCGTCCAGGTCAAGACTTGTCCATATAGGTCCGTAACTGTCCTCTTCCACGGCACTGTCTGCCCTTCCAAGTCAGTCACTGCTCTTCCAGGTTAGCGCTCGTCCTGACAAGTCAGGAGCTGCTCTTCCAGGTCAGTACCTGTCCTTCTAAATCAGTACCTCCCCTTCCAGGCCAGTACCTTTCTAGGTCGGTGCCTGCCCTTCCACGTCGGTACCTAACCTGCCAGGTCGGCGGGAGAGCGGTCAGCCGCTCCTTGGGCTGGCATGCACGCAGGGGAAGACTGCTGGTTGCTGTGTGGACATTCCGGGGTGCATGTTCGTACTTGTCGCTGCCGAACAGCTAAATGTGGGCTGGTGATATCATTTTCTGTCAGTCGTCTGCTGTCTTAAGATGACTAGCGGTTTGTCCAGAGATCTGTAATAGTATGAATAGGTGCACGATCGGCATATCGAACATTTCAGGTATTTAGATGACTAATGGTGTGTCCAAAGACCCATGATGGTATGAATAGGTGTACAATGGATAAAGCGAACATTTCAGTTAATGGCAAGGACATTATTAAAGGCAAACTACACCTCCCTGAAGTACCACAAACGGCTCCAGATCGCTACCAACAGCATAGCTGAACGATGACTGATCGAGGAGGCGCCCGTTTTAGTGGCGTCCTCCGTATCCCTCGTCAGATTGTACCACAGTGTAGGGCCCGGGTTCTGTAGTATCCATCGGGCTTTGTCCTTACTGCGGATGACTGAAGCAAACTGTGAGCGGTCTTGGTGGTGACCACGACCACGTGGTGCGAGGCACTTGTTAGTGATATGTATTGTAGCGGTGCAAGCTCAGCCCATTGGCCGACGCGCCGCTCATCGCCCCCTCCCCGTCCCCAGTACGACTTCGAGCGCGCCATCGACGACTGGGTCTTCATGTGCTTCTTCGTCGGCAACGACTTCCTGCCGCACCTGCCGTCGCTGGAGATCCGCGAGGGCGCCATCGACCGGCTGGTCAACCTCTACAAGCAGACCGTCTACAAGACCGGGGTGGGTGCCGGGCCGGAGTAGCGGGCCCCGGCCACGCAGCCCGCTCGGGGCCCCGCTCGGCTCGACCTCGGGGTCTGCCAGCTTGGGGCCGTGTTGTGCCGACGCTCTTACTGGATCTCTGCGGGAACGGGCTTGGCGAGCTTTTCGTTGGCTGGTCGCTCACTAATTACCGGGGCACTGAGGCCGTCTATTGTGGCGTTAAATTCGCTGTTGTGCGTTTAAATGAGACGGCTTGCGAGCTGTTCATTCATTTATCATGGTATTATCCATTGAAGCGTGCGACTGCTACAGTCATGAGTGTCTTTTGGTCTGCGGTGAAAGTGGAAGCATTTACACTTGCTGAAGGCAAGAATCGAACATAAATCTCTCAGTTTAGCATGGCATGCTCCACTGAGTTACGCTCGCTTTCAGCGAAACTCGCTCTCATTTATCACGTGCTTCGATATGTGATGACGCAAGAACTCGTTCTCCGATCTACCCGACCTGGTGCGAGGTGACCCCACCGCGCCACAGGCACTAGGGCATCCTTACTAACTGCTTTCTCACTTCCTGCATTCTTACCAACTGCATCCGTACGGACTGCGTCCTTACCAACTGCATCCTTTCCAACTGCATCCTTCGCAACTGCTTCCTTACCAATTGCATACTTGCCAACTGCATCATTCCAGCTGCATCCTTACCAACTGCTTTCTCAATGAGTACTTTCTCAATATTTGTTTCTTAATCCACTGCCTCCTCACCCACTATCTCCTCACCCACTGTTTCTTCACCCACAGCTTCCTCGCCCACTGCCTCCTCACCCACTGTTTCTCCACCCACTGCTCCCTCACCAGCAGCGGTCGGGATACCGCGCTGCCCATGCAGCTCAACACACCCCGCCTGTAAGCTGACCGAGTGTGCACCCGGCCGCACGGCTCCCTCGCCAGCAGCTCCACACTCCCCGTCCGTTAGCTGATCGAGTGTCCACCCGGCCGCAGGGTTTCCTCACCAGTAGCGGCCGGGTGAACCTGAAGCGCGTGCAGCTGATCATGCAGGACCTGGGCGAGATGGAGGACGAGATCTTCAAGTCCCGCCAGCGGCGCGAGATCTCGTTCCGCAACCGCAACAAGGCGCAGCGCCGCCAGAAGCGGGCCGAGCAGGAGCGCCAGCACATACAGAGCGGCCAGTTCGCGCCACAGGTCCGTGGCGGGTGGGGCGCCGACGGCTCTCGCGCGGCGGACGGTCGCCGCAGGCCGCGCAGTCAGCGCCGCTGACGCTGTCTCGTGTTTGGCGGTGCGCAGCTGCTGCCGAGATGGCGGTGTGCAGCTGCTGCTGGGATGGCGGTGTGCAGCTGCTGCCGAGATTGCGGTGTGCAGCTGCTGCCGAGATGGTGGTGTGTAGCTGCTGCCGGGATGATGTTGCGCAGCTGCTGCTGGGATGTGCTGCCGATATGGTGGTGTGTAGCTGCTGCCGAGATGGTGGTGTGCAGCTGCTGCCGAGATGGTGGTGTGCAGCTGCTGCCGAGATGGTGGTGTGCAGCTGCCGCCGAGGTGGTGGTGTGCAGCTGCTGCCGATATGGTGGTGTGCAGCTGCTGCCGATATGGTGGTGTGCAGCTGCCGCCGAGATGGTGGTGTGTAGCTGCTGCCGATGTGGTGGTGTGCAGCTGCTGCCGATATGGTGGTGTGCAGCTGCTGCCGAGATGGTGGTGTGCAGCTGCTGCTGGCGTGGCATACGATGTCGTCGCTGTCGGATAGCCGGCCGCCGTTTGTACGGTGTCGGCCTTCGCTGGCGCGCACGGCGTCACCGCCACGGTTGTCGTGTGAGCGAGCCTGCCAGTTTGTGCGGTTGACGCGCTGATGTAGTGTCGCCTCCCCAGGCGGTGGGTGGCGCGGTGAAGCCGGTGGAGAACGCTCGCAAGGAGGCCTACCAGATCCGCATGGAGCAGATCGCGGCCAAGTCCGAGTTCAAGCCGGAGAACAACAGGATCATCGACAGTGTGAGTGTGTGCTGGCAGCCGCGACCAGCGGCGGCGGCTTCACTCTGCGACCACTCACTTGGTCACTCGGGAGTTGACCGGAGTTGGTCACTCGGGAGTTGGTCCGTGGGGTGGGGACGAACCACCGGACGGTAGGGGCGAGGGACGGACGATGCGGCAGCTGGGCTTCTTTTCAGGCCTACCAGTCTTTGTCTAGGTAGTGTGATGCCGTGGCTGTACATCGGTGTACTACTGATCCACGGTGTTGGTCCGTGACTGCTATATGGCGGCCAATGGGAGCTTTGTAGAAATTTTCGACGGGCTGACTTGTGCTTTGACGCATTTCATCACGAGATGCTGATTGGTCACAGTCACTGAGTCATCTTTCTGCTCAATGATTTGAGTGGTCCTCTTTGTCACTCATTAGTTTACTGCATGTGTTGCAGTTGTTCTGTAGGACCATTTGTCTGTGTCACAGATCCACGGCCTAACGAGAGCTGGCTGTCGCTGTGTCCGCTGAGATGGCTGTGGCTTGGTCCACTGAGATGGCTGTCGCTGGGCGCGCTGAGGCCTCTGAGTATGCTGAGGCCTCAGAGTCGGTCCCACGTCGCCGCAGTGTTCTGACATCAGTGTCTCGTGCCGCAGGCGACGGCCGCCGGCCAGAAGCGCTCGCACGACTCGGACAGCGAGGAGGAGACGCCGGATGAGGTGCGGCTCTGGGAGGACGGCTTCAAGGACAGGTCAGAGCGTACAGCCCCCCCCCCCCCCCCATACTGACGCTGTAAAGGTCACCGTCCCATCCAACGTACGACGTTCCCGTGTCGCACTCTGAGGCTGCCGGCTCACATTTGTTCTGCATTGGAACTAAAGTGGCTGCGCGAACGCCTGCCTGTATCATTTTGTTTTCTGGGTAGCTGCCTTCTATGCCATGAACTGCTTGTCGAAGTGCCGGCATGTTCTCACCCGCGTTTCCAGCTCGTGGTGAGTCCCTCTGCGCCATTCGTTGAGAGGTCGTGCACGGGCGGACAGGCCTGATGAGCCGCGCCCGTGTGTGGTGGTGTGATGGCGCCCGCCCCGTGTCCGACGCAGCGCCTCCTCCCTCCCCCCCCCCCCCCCCTGTGACCCGCCGCCTCGGCCGCGCGCAGGTACTACGAGTCCAAGTTCGACGTCATGGCCGACAACATCGAGTTCCGCCACCAGCTGGCGCGCGAGTACGTGCTCGGTCTCTGCTGGGTGCTGCGCTACTACTACCAGGTACAGTGACCGCGGCCGGAGCCGGCCTGGTGCCGCGGCTGTGGGGGCGAGCGCGCGTGCTCGGCCGGTGTTGAACGACGCGTCCGAGGCCGCTGAGTGCCCGGTGTCGTTTGTTCACGCCCCAGTGGTGGGGCTGTGTAGAAGGACTTCCTCCTGTCTTGGAGAGGACTTCATTGAGAAATCCCTGGAGAAGGGATTATTTGAATGCTGTTGTACGTGCCCGTGTCGTGTCTGGCTGCGTACTTTGGCCGGGCCGCGCCTCGACCGCGTCGGTGTGCCGGCTGCCGCCTCACCTCGACCCCCGACCCGGCAGGGCTGCGCCTCCTGGAAGTGGTACTTCCCGTACCACTACGCGCCGTTCGCCTCCGACTTCATCAACATCGGCGACATGCGGCCGACGTTCACGCTCGCGGCGCCGTTCAAGCCGCTGGAGCAGCTGATGAGTGTGTTCCCGGCGGCCAGCCGGTCGCACGTGCCCGAGCCCTGGGGCGAGCTGATGATGGACCCGGTACGGTCGCCAGCGGGCTGGCGGGAGCGGGGCACGAGGGGCGCGCCACTGACGAGGCCAGGGGTGGGGACCGAAGAGATGTGGTAGCGGATGTGACTGGGGATGGCGATGGGTGAAGACTGGGTTAGCAGATGCTGATGTTGACGTATCTTCTGTCAATGTTGGCTTGGATCGTGTGCTTGGAACTCGGGTGGCAGATCCCAGTGGAAGGGATGGGGTAAGATGAACCCCGTCCCGCCAGTTTGCCTGGTAAGTTAATAAATAATTGGAAGTAGACCAGGCCGGTTGAGGACGCTCTGCAATACTGGGTTGTGTGGCGTATGGAACGTGCTGAACGTTGACACGGATGGGTCGTCTGGGAAGATACACCCGCGTCACCACCCCACCTTTCGACACCCCATGCGGAGATCGTCGGCTGTCCTCAAGTGGCCCTGTGACCGTCCGGTTCCGGCAGCCGCCCCCGACGCGGCCGGCCCCGCCATCCCGCGCTGACGCCCGGCCCCGCCCCGCAGCACTCGCCCATCATCGACTTCTACCCGGTGGACTTCAAGATCGACCTGAACGGCAAGAAGTTCGCGTGGCAGGGCGTGGCGCTGCTGCCGTTCGTGTCGGAGGTGCGGCTGAAGGCGGCCCTCGAGTCCGTCTACCACCTGCTCACCGACGACGAGCGGCGCCGAAACGTGCGCGGCGACGACCGACTCTTCATCCGCAACGGCCACGCCGGCTTCGAGGTGGTCCACCAGATGTACGCCGAAAGCACGGTGAGAGCGCTGAGAGAGGCGCAGAGGCCGCGTCGGAGTGTGAGGGCACGGGAGTGTGCATCTCTGGCGCGTTTTGTGTTTCGCTGGACGGGGGTGTGTGGAGCGTAAGCTGTCGCTTGTCTTTATCGTTTTCGTGAGGAGCTTGTTCGTTGAAAATTTGTCGCGCGATGCGTTCGTCACTTTTGCTGTGCTTTAGATATCGCATGGTTCACAGGCGTCCATTAATGCATTTATTTTGTTATACCTTGATCCGCATCAAAGTCCCAACAGGAGTACATCACCTCAAGGGCCGTATGCGACGAAGCGAAAAGCTGTACTCGCGTCCACTCTGTGTGCCCCTGTCGCGCTGACTGGCTCGCTCCGTCGTCAGGAGACGCTGGAGGCCAACCCGGAGCTGTTCCAGAAGATGTCGGGCGCGCTGATGCCGGCCGACGACCTGGTGGAGCAGGGCGCCGACGTCGTCTCGCCCGTGCCGCTCATCAAGAGCCTCCGCAACAACCAGGTGGTGACGTGAGTACTACCGGCGACGCCGCCGCCGCCGCCGGGCCGGCTGCTGCTCTCGCGGCAGGCGCTCGGCGGGCTCCGACGCCGACCGCGCGCGACGCGTGCAGTTCGCGCGGGCGTGTGGCCCAGCATTGTGGCAGCCAGTGGCTTTATTCCGCTGTGTGCGGAGGATTTTCTGGAGAGTGTCGATGCTTCATCCGGTTCACGGTTCGGGTTCAGTGGGGTATGTTTCCTCTCCGACTCGTGGGAGCGCCGTGTGGCAGACAGTGGAAAGCGCTGACGCGTCCGTCTTGGTCTGCCGCAGGTGCCGCTACAAGGACCCGCAGTTTCCGCAGAGCTTCGTGTTCCCGGCCGTCAAACTGCCCGGCGCCACGTACGTACACCCCGGCGTGGGGGGCTTCGGCCGTGCGCGGCTCAGTGGGGACCAGTCACGGTACGGCAGTGTGTATGTGTACAGTACGGAGCAAGCTGAAGTAGGGTGGTCATTGGCGTTTCACGACGCAGTCGGCTGCTGAGGTTATGTGGCGTCGGCTACCCGTCACCCAGGCAGGAAGGGCGGGCGCCGCGGGGAGTCGAACCCCGTACCTCTAGTTTCCCAGACACGCTGCCTAACCACTGCACTACCAGGATCATAATTGCTGAGTTGGAGTCGGGGTAATCGTGGCAACGTTTAACTCGTGACGTGTAGCTTTTCGTGGGGAGGCTGGTCTCATCGGTGTCTTTTTTCGGCCGATGGAGAGTGTCTGCGTTGGGTGACCGCTGTCTATCGTCCTGAATCCGTCTTCCGGAACGCAACGAGTGGGCATAGTTGCTACCGTCTCTGGCGCCGGCGGGGATTTCCATTGTGTTCGTGCCATCGCCAGAGTTTGGGCTGGCTAGTCCTGTACACCCAGCCCTGATCTGCCTCCTCACAGGTCCCCCGTCGGCTGGCCTGGCCTGACCTGCCCCACGCCTACGCTGGGCTTTCCCCTAAGCCCGCCCCCGGTCTGCCCTATCCTGACCTGACTCTGCTGGCAGTGATATGCAGATCTGTCCTGACTTGACCTGACTGGCTTCAGGCCCCTTGTCGGCCATTATCCCCGCTGCCCCTATGCACACCCCAGCTCTAGGGTCTCCACTGGCTTTAACAGACCTACCCTCTCTCACCCACATCCACCCATCTTGCCTGACCTGAGTTAACCGCGGAGCCACGGCTCTTCCCTTCGGTGTCCCCACCGCTGCCAGCTGGTCTCCACTGGTCTGCCCTGCCCTCGCCCAGGTTTGTCGCCCGGGGTCCGGTCTCTGTCCGCCGGTGTGTTCCGTCCCGCTGACCTGCCCTGTGCCGACAGGTCGCCGCCGCGCGTCCTGAAGCCGCAGGACCTGGACCGGGCGGCGTCGCGCCGCTGGCGGCCCCAGATCGGCATGGTGCGCTCCAACACGGTGGCCTCGCTGGGCCGCGCCGGACACCGCATGGTCGGGTGAGTGCCGCCCGGCGCCGGCGCCGGAGCCCCGCTGCGAGACCCGCCGGCGCGGCGAGCAGCGGCCGCGCGTGTCGCTGTCGGGAGGTGGCACCGCCAGGCTGCGGGAGCGGTGCCGGTGTGAGGTGTAGTCCAGTGGCACAAGCCGACAGAACGCTTAGGCAGGTCGGGGTCGGGCTCGTTTGGCCATGGTTGGTCATTTCAGAGATATGATATTAGGACAAGCAAGAGGTTAGGGGTGCTCTGGCCACTCACGTCACCACCACAAGTCATCAAGTCGTCTACCACACTTCATCGCCGTCGCGGGTCTTGACCCATCACAGGGGCCGTTTGTCGGAGCGTGTGGCGAATCTCGCTCCGAATCAGGACTGCGATGAGGCTAAGTCGTGACTGTCGGCTGCGGCATACTCCTGACGACACCCGGGCATTGCGCGGCCTCGTGCGGTCGGGGGGCTGCTGTGTGGTATGAGTCACGCGCTCCGTTGTGACACCGGCCGGCGAGCCTGGCGGAACAGATTCGCGGCGCTTCTGGGACAACGTGTTCGTCATGTGAACACCTGATCTGTGGTAAGCAAATACGTGTCAACACGCCTGGAAATATCCCGGTCGGACAGTGATCGGACTAGCGGCCGCGTGCGAGTCCGAACCTCGCATGGCGGCCGACAGATGGCACCACAGCCTCCACGTGTTTACCGCACCGCGCCTCGGCGATGACCGGCCGCGCCGGCTGCCAGCGTGCAAGGCCCTCCTTTGTGGCCGAATAACGCGCACTCACGCGGTGCGCTGTTTGTTTTATCGATGATATCACGAGGCGTCGCGCGACGGCCGCTGCCGAGGTGGGCGCCGGTGGGACCGGCTGGCGTCGGGGCGGTGCTGTATGGGCCGCCGTGGAGTCTCTGTCCGGGTCCTATTGAGGCCCGCTGCCCGGTGGTGAGATTGTGTCATGCTGCGTTCGTCAGCTGGCCCGACGCGGCATTTCCCGTGTTGTATGGCGCCGGGTTAGTGTGCTAAGCTAACGTTTAATTCAGATGACTCGGCGATAGCGTGTTGTGCTCGGCTGGTGGCTTGGGAGTCCGTGAACTTTGCGAAGATGAGATGCTGCAATTTGGGCTGATGTGGAAGACAGCGAGTCGGGCCAGCGCGAATCGTGAGGTGTCCAAGTAAACGAAAAAGAACGGCTTCTTGCGTGGAAGGGCACTCACCTCCGCGTGTTCGAAATGGACTGCCACGATATCAAGGAATTGCCATCGGTTTCTGTTCACTGACCTGCGGTGCTGCGGTTCACGGTACATTTCTGGCATGGTTCACTTGTGTTATCCCGTGGAAACTGTTTCCATTTCAACGTCAGTGTTTTCCTATTACCTGCTGCGCATGTTAAAGTCGCGTAAAATGTTTGCGTTTCGGCTAATCAACGAGGGTTGAGAGTGCACTCGCCATGAGCGCTTAGCAAAGATTTTCATAATTCCAGGGAAGCACAGCTTGACTCGTCGACGATGCTCCATCCCATGGCCTTCGAACACTGCGCGGTGGTGGTGTAGTGGTTAGGGTGTTGTTCTCCTTCGAACACTGCACGCTGGTGGTGAAGTGGCTAGGGCGTTGCTCTCCTTCGAACACTGCACGGTGGTGGTGAAGTGGCTAGGGTGTTGCCCTCCTTCGAACACTGCGCGGTGGTAGTGTTGTGGTTATAATGCCTCTCTCTGGACTTCGCGTTCCTGGTTTGGGATCGCAGCAATACCACTGCTGCATCTCACATGATACGTAATAAAGTCGCACTGTCTCGAACTGACCCTGGCAATCGGGTTAGACCTAAAGCCCTGGTCACTGTTAACATTATCCCCCGAACGGTACATGCGGTGGCCTGTTCGTCCTCCTGAACGCCTTCCTGGGTCCGCTTCCTCGTCAGGAGCGGCAGCGTGACTCCGTGGGACGCTGCGTCTCCTGTTGGCAGGTGTGGTCTGCGTTGTTTTTACGTCTCTGTGTTCCGCCGCACCATTCAGAGGGCTCGTCAGCTGATGATGTCTCCTGTTGGGGTTCCATCGCGCGCAGGTGGGCCCGTCCGTTGGCCCTACAGTGCGGGGTGTCCGCAAGGTCCACTCTCCATCATCGCCATCGCCTGTGCCCCGGTGACCTGCTGTCCCCAGCAGCTGACTCGATCGCCGTCGCGTCTGGCGTCTCCGATCGTTCCTGCCCGTCCGCACCCCGCCCCACCCAGTTCCGTGTTGGCCGCGCGCGCTCCGCTGCAGCGGCGGCGCGGCTCTGCAGGCGGGCGACGCGGCGCGCGCGGCCGCCGACGTGTAGGGTGCTCGAGCGACACCTCGGCCGGCCGGCCGGCCCGGCTGCCGGCGCGAGCACACAGCCGGCGGCCGGGCCGCACCGCGTCATCTGAGTCAACAGCGGCCGGCACGAGCGACGCCCGGCGCCCGGCAGCCAGGCTCGGGCCGGGATGGCAGACCGGGCGTCGTCGGGACGGCTCGGTGCTCCTGCACTGGCGTGCGCCAGCTGGTTGAAGCTGCACTGAGCGGTAGATGAACCGTCGTGAGGCGACTGCTGTCCAAGGCCTGCTTTGTTGTTTGGTCTGGGTGTTGAAAAAGTCACGGACGAACAGGATAGAGTCCCACACCTTTCTAGGCCAAGAATCGAGGCCGGTAGGGGACGTTTTGGAACCACGCTCCAGCACTGTATAATGCGCTGCCAGCCGACATCACACAAACGACACAGGAGTGTTTCGTAAGCGTGGTGAGAGCGCACCTGTGTGAGCGCTAATGCCAACCGGTGGATGGGCGTGTGTGTGTGTTACATGTTTCGTTTTTTAACCTGCATGTTCTTGTCTCCTTGCATTTGGCACGGGGCTGTAATAGCCACGCTCCACTGAGGACGGCCCTATGGACGTATGGGCGCAGTGCACACATGCATATGCAGGCTGCTCTCAGAGTTCACGCTGTGAGCTCATTCTTCCAGTCTTTGTCTCACTTTGCAGTTACACAGGCGTGGCCGTGTCCGGGTATGTCGCTGACCGGCGCGTGCGCCCGTGTGCCGCAGGTTCCACCAGCGCTCGCAGAGCGCCGGGTACAACAGCGTGCCGCCGCTGATGCCGGGCGCGCCGCCGCTGATGCCGGGCGGGCCGCCGTTCGGCGGGCGCGGCTCGCTCATGGGGCAGGGCCCGCCCGGCAACTGGCAGGGCACGTACAACGGTAGGTGGAGCTGGCCACTCAGCCGGCCGCTGTCGGTGACGGCCACCCAGTCCCGGCCGCCCCCAACGACGCCCAACCCCTGGCGTTGCCGACGACGCCCAACCCGTGCCGCTGCCAACCCCTGCCGTTCTCAACGACTCCCAACCCCCGCCGCTGCCAACGTCTCTCAGCCCCCGTCGCTCCCAATGACGCCCAACCCGTGCCGCTGCCGACGACGCCCAACCCCAAGCGCTGTTGAGGGTCCCCAGCCCCTGCCGCCCCCAACGACGCCCAATCCCCGCCGCTGCCGCCAACTCCTAACCCCTGCCGCTGTCAACGACTCCCAACCCTGCCGTCCCCAACGACTCCCAGCCGCTGCTGTTCCCAACGACTCCCAACCCCTGCCGCCCCAAACGAGACTCCCGACCTTTGCCGTTTCCAATGGATTCCAACTCCTGCCGCTCCCAACGACTCCCATCCCCTGCCGCTCCCAACGACGCCAACCCCAAGCGCTGCTAAGGATCCCCAGCCCCTGCCGCCCCCAACGACTCCCAACCCCTGCCGGTGCCGCCAACTCCTAACCCCTGCCGCTGTCAACGAATCTCAATCCCTGCCGCTGCCGACGACATCCAGCACCATCCGGAAGCCGTCAGTTATCCTCTCTTTCTCGAAAGCCGAGGTTCAGGCGCTGGCGTCGGTCGTGTTGCGCTGGTCAGAAGAGTTCAGGATGACAACGCTGTGTGTGTTTCGGGCTCGGCGGCAACGGATGTGAGCCTTCAGCTCTGGGTTGTCACCTGTCGCCCGAGCCGTGGCGGCGACGGCACCCGGCCCAGATCCACTCGGAATGCGGCGGTGAAGCCGCAGCCCGCAGGTCGAGTCTCACCCGGTCCCAACTGGGCGGTGATTGGCCGCGATACGTCCCCGGGGACCCCCCAGGACGGCCGCCGTTCGCGGCCACAGCCCGGCAGTAAGTGGCTGCGGGCTGGGCCCGGCCGGCCGGACGGGGCGGTCCGCCGGCCGTCACACGCTCGCTCGAGTGCCCCGTGACGGGCGTGGCTGGCTGCCCACTCGGCGCCCGCCGTTCTGCATGACGCCGCGCGAGTGTTTTGTTGTCGCATTTTTGTCCATTGTCCAGTGCCGGCTGGAGAGTCTCTCGAAGCGGCCGAGGCGCTCGCGCACCACTCGCGGACGAGATGTGGGCCGCACTTTCGCTCTCGGCCGCGCCCGTCGCCGGCCGGCCCGACAGGTGAGGTCACCCGAGACGGATGACGTCACCCGCGGGCCAACCAGGGCGCGCGGCGGCCGAGGTGTGAACTGGCGGCGCGGCTAAACATGTTTATGTGGAGAAACACTCGTCGGACGCGTAATGACGCCCGGAGAGCGGCTCGAGATGGCGTGGAGGGCCATCGGGCCGGCTGTTTGCACGGGACACGGCCGGGCGGTGCCGCTGGTTCGGTCGCCGTGTGACCGCCGGACCTGTGTCCCAGCCGCCCCCGACCGCCAGCGAGTCGTCCCCGGCCTCCACCGTACGGAACGCGCTCTCTCTTTCTGACACCGTTTGGACGTGGGACCGGATGGTTGACCTGCTGGCAATGTCCCGATAATCGACTTTTTCAGCAATCTGTTATGAAAATCATTTCATCAGATTTGTGACGTTTCATCACATTTTCATTATTTTTGGATTCCGCCCGTTGCCGGACTTCGTCTTCTAAACCTAAAATTATCAAACAACGAAATATTTGTTTCATATCTTAGCATTCGGACTCGGAAGCTTCGGACCATTGGCCAATTTTGGGGGCTTGGGCAAATATTCGAAAATATAGAATGGCATTCA